GAAACTTACCTGGAATGGACGGACTTTGATACACCAACAAGCCATTTAAAACGTGAACTGACTGGGCTGTCAAGTCAAAGTGATAAGCATTTTGAAAAAAAACTTACTTTCCGCTTCCGAAACGGAAATTTGAATTCACGTTCACCACATGTGCCACGGGAGGTCGACCCTGAGGCTGAACATTTTCAATGCATTTTGGTTGTCTATACTGTACAATGTAGTCATTCAAATCATCTAAATGTTTGAAAGATGTAAGATATTTCACAGTTTTTCCAGTTCGATTTAAGGTTGATTTCATCGTCTTATTATTATCGGACTTAACTCTCCCAGATCCGGTGAGATTATTATTTCGCCCTTTACGAAACAGTGCCAGATTGACTACATCCGATGTCCAACCGGTGGAAAATGGATTGGATGTATTGGGTTTGCTGTTGTTGTCTGTCCAGAATTGTGCTTCCAGAAGACTTTCGGTGAGCGTGCGACGAAGAACCGGATTGCATGCTGTACAACCTTCATCTGGATTGAATTGAAACACGGCCGTCTTTTCGTTGTCCTCGTTCCGTTTGCTTATTTCCACCGGGACTGCAGAACGTTTTCGCTTCGACTTCCCGGATCTTCGTCGTTTGGTTTTGCAATTTCTAAAATACGCAAAAAAGGTTTATTCAAATATTATGGATACACGTAATACACGAACTTTTCTGTCAGTAAAGGCATTACATCCCGCGGCTTGGCACATTGCACAGACATCACTGACTAGATCGATAGGTAGTCTCATTTGATTTGATCACGTGAAGCTGTTGAATTGGAGAAGCCTTTCAATAGAGGGAGAATAACGGTGTCCCAAAAAAACCTGGGATAGTTAGAATTTTATGACCATTCAGAAGAGATTTTCATAAAGTTCTATTAAATTACTCTGATAGTTAAGAGTGGTTGTGAAATCAAAAATTTTGCTGTAAGATGTTAAAAAATAGATAATCTAGACATTTTAAATGAAAGAACAGGAGTAATGTCCTGAAGGATACATCATTCTTTATGCGGGAAAGGTTTGTCATCAAGTCTGTGAGCATATGTGTTCACGTTCTCGTCAACCGTTGAACCCCGGCCACCATAGAACCCGCTGACGAACATATCGGAAGAAGTGTTTTCAGATGTGCGTCATCATGAAAGATTCCAAATTCACCTGTAGGTGCAGATGCATTTCGCTTACTGACATTTTACACTTATTAGAGTAGCTTTCTGAAACACTGGAATGATATAGATAAATATATATGTTATATTATCTTGAGAACAATTATGTTATAAAAACAACAATCTCCAAGTGAATGGGGTAAAAGATGAGTACCAATGGGGGCAAGGAAGAGAAACTATTAGAGAACAGGATAATGATGTTTTTAATTGTTCCTTTTGTACACGTTGTAGTGAGAGGGTAAATGATTTCACTGGATAGGTCATACAGTATTCGTATCACTGATTTGTGTTTTGTACCATAGCGTCACTTACCAGTGGTAACCCCTGTTCCTTGAACCTCAGCCAGGTCACGGCCATCAGGCTGGTAAGAACCAACCAAGTCGAAACAGGTGTTCAGTGCTTCCTAGCCTTTCAGTTCACGCCACATTTGCTATATACACGAGGAATTCACCTTTGAAATTGAACCAAATCCTCCATTACCCATTTGAAATAATGCATATAAATAAAAAGAGTACTGCAGAAAATAGAATTGGTATCATTGTAATCCAATCATTTTCGTTTTTTGAATTTGGATTTTGAGTAGTTGTTCTTTGATGATTTCAGCCGATATTTTCTGTGAACAGGTTTCACTAGTTCAGTGGTGATTCTTAGCTTACGAGAAGACGCAAATCACAGGGCGACACATTAGAATTTCCGGACAACACTACGTGTATTGCTTCAGGAAACCAACCAGAATTTAGCTCGTTTTTTCAATACCGGGGTGGTTGCATCTGCACTATATTCATAATTTGGTTTTCGTTTAATGAAACAAATTCAGGTCAGCTTTTGTCAAATATCGCAATCTCAAATTGCTTATATACGGAAGCATTTTTATTGTTCTGAGTTAACACGTGAATGAATTGGCGGTTCTCATTCGCCTCAAGGTTACATGTTGTTGTTACAAAAAGAAATTAAGGGTTGGAAACCATTTATGTATTACAAATCAATCTGAATAGGTCGACTTGACTGAAGTCCATAAAGCAAAGGGTAGAGTAAAATGGTCGATTGCGTCATGCCCGAGATTCACTGCGATCAGTACGAACTGGGTCAATCAAGTAGAATCGTTGTCCGTATATATGCGCGTGTTTTGTCTGTGTGCATGACCAAGGATTCTCATATATGGTACTGGTGATACCTCCCCTGCCATAGATTCAAGTTTGTCCGTTTCGATAACGGTCTATCGATTTGCTTATTCGCACTGATCTACGAACCCATTGAAGTGCTGTTTCCCGTGCCTCCTCTCATTCCACTGGAGGTGAACCCGATTGAATAATTGGCCGTTTCTTAAAATCCCTACAAATAGATGCATTTCTATATCTGCGATGAACGATGCCGGCGGCAAAACTACGGTACTTTAATCGAATCGTCACCATTGAATGACATGCTCAACCACCTTTCCGAACCTCTGAACAAGAATGACTATAGACCTAAAGATCCAGTAGAAAATCTTGTCGTTTGGTTTCGATTTATACTGATTTTTCATGTCTCATGCTTTTGTGTTTGTCGTCTTTTAAAGTATGGTAATAGGAGATCTAGGTGTGAACGTTAACTAAACCCCAGCATACTTCTGCTGCAGCAATGACTGTTGCAGTTTAAGGTATGCGTCAATTTCACGAAGAATCCAGTCTGTCCCCTTGAAGACCAACAAGCGGCTTATGGCCTATACGGATCTCGGACCGTTGTTCATGCAGATAATGCTGGAAAACCATCACATCAAAAAGAAAGATTTAAGCTTATTTATTTACCTGACATAGATCTTTCATTCTGGGTTGGGTACCGTGATGTAAAGGTGACGGTTTCGCTCCGCTTTCAACACTCTTCATCTTTTGATTGTTGGTGAATGCAAAACAGGTACAGTTTAGAGCAATATATTCCAAGTCCCATTGAGCATTTCTTAAGGATCTTTCGAACAGAGTTCGTTTCTGTAACTGTACGTTATTTTTTCCTTTGTAGTCCCTACATATTTGTGTAAGATTTGTTTGTACGGGAAAGGACAGGTTACTTGTCTCATTTTCACTGGCTGAGTAAAGTTGTTGTTAATTAGACGCTGATGTTTTGGCTTAACGTTGAGGTGAAAAATACAGGACCTTTAAATGATTTGGGCTGCAAACTGAGAGATTCAACAAAATTGATCCCCATATCTCTGGTGTTCATTTTCTGGTGCGTTGATAAATATAGAGTAAAACCCCCTCGTAAGGTGCTCGTTGGACGTTTGTAACACTATCCGATACACCATGAGTACCGTTAATTTCTGCAACAAGGCGCGCACAACCTACAAACACCTCCCTTGGATATAAGCACATGTCACAGATGACGACATGGTGTTTCAAGCCAATAAACTTGTTTTTTACCACAAACTGTGAAGACAATCTCTGTGTCAAATTCATGGAGAGCCGTTATTAACTGATAAATAGTTGAAACTTGATTGGTGTTATCTGGGTTATAATGGCCGCCTAAATATTAGTTTCCGGCAAAGATATGAGCAGTGGATTTTCGTGAAACCCGCAATCCAATTTCTCCATGAGGAAAAAAATGGTAATTCTTTGACAACGACTTCTTTAAGCTCGGTGCACAAAATTTAAACACATGAGTCAGATCAAAAGGTATTCGAATATTCTCAGTTCAAAGAATACTGACAATTTTCATTTCCTACAAGGTAGAATTTGCAACGTTTGGTACATAAATGACGGGTGGCGATTGAGTACCACATATTTGGTATTTGGTATGCAATTTTTTTATCGAAGCTCCCAATAGTTATGGGAAAATCTGGTTTGCCAGCAGAGACAGAAGTGGAACGAATTGTTGGGAACCAATTCAAATATATCAATAAGCCTTGTATAACATGCTGACTTCAAGTGACTGGCGAAGGACGGACATGCTGTTATGCTCAAGTTCTGTAGAAGGGGTCGAACTGCATTACATCCCTCTTTAGAGCTCTCTTCAGCTTTGACAGAACCGTATGTTGTAGGTGACCCCGGTAATGTATTACCTCATTGTTGCGTTACCGGATCGCTGTAATCAGTCGGCCCATTCTACGTTCTGGATTTGACGGTGCCTGAGTTTCGTTCTGCGGGCGGAATGGTAAAGTAACTTATGAATTAATGTCCGATTGATGTACCTGGAAGCATTTTTTCCATCCTCTATTTTAACTGCCTCGGTGTTTATTGAGCTCTGGTCGACAAAATTCCAAAATTGATTCATCAACAAAATTTTTCTTGTTACAGGTAGAGTTGAAAGTTAGGTATCGATTCGTAGGTGAAAACGTTTAGCACGTTATATCGTTAATTATGACGTGCTTATCAACTTCTTTGCGATCCTCATTAAATTTTGGTCCATCTTTATCTAATGGACCAAAGGACGGTGAGTTTTGTCTAATGGATTGTGGATTGAGGCTAATGTGTGCAAAACACTCCTTGCTCACCTAAATTTAATAAATTGCATCTGGTTCAGTGACGAACGTTTTAATTGTTGCATCTTTTATGTGTGCAGCCATGCTGAAATTAATGAGCCGAAAGTGTTTAACCATGAAGTCTCTTTTGACGAATTTTACCGATTACAAACGAGCTACTCACGAGTAGGCTAATGATCAACATTTCCAAGGAGTCATTCTTTCCAAAAACAGTACCAATAACCCCACGGTTTTCCGAAACATCGTGGTTTCAAAATCGCCCAGATGGATCTAATTTGGTATTATGATGATAATACTCATCATAAAGAGAATACACAGATCTCCAATGTGACTGTGACAAAGTAACATATCATTTAATACGGTCCCTTTGATATTCTATTCATTCCACCCCGAGTGCTGCCTGTAAAGTACACTCTTTGAGTCTTTCGATCCTATCGTAACTCAATTTTGTTATACGATGTTCAGTTGTACAATAGTTAGTGCTATCCACGCAGCACACGATCGGTATTAGGTGATCATCTAGGTCGTACACTGCGTTTGAGCTCATCAACATCCCAATTATCGAAACTGACAATGGGCAGCCAGTTTAGCCAGCTCTGTGTTGCAGCGAGTAAAATTACTGCCTGACTATGACCTTGGAACTAAAATTTGTCGCATGTTTGAGAAAAATTTAATGATGAGCAACATCTGTTCGTAATATCTTGGTCGCCCGATGTCAGTAAAATTCTTGAAATCCAAGAGGAAATTTGACCAAAGATCTCTGGTCACAGCAAGAGGTCAATGACTCTTATTCGTTGGTATTGGTGTGAAAAGCTTATCGAATTAAAAAGATATTCTTAGCGCTTATGAAAACTGCGGAAAACTTCACCAAACTTAAAATTCAGGAAGGTAACAGACTTTCGTATTGATATTCGAGAGGTGAATATTTATGAATCAAATCCACAAACGCATATTCACCAAACTATAGTTACAAAGCATGCAACGCGGAAATACGGTGACTAATCAAGCGCGTTCTGCCTCAAATGTAACGGAATATTTTGTTTAATATGCGACTAAGAATCAGTAAAGAACATATATTTTACGCGAGGAAAACCTCGCGGAACTGTGTGTTACATGTTATATTTTTGAATGCATATTTTTGGTTTCTTTGTTATCCCTCAGAATGAGTTTGTAGTGGTCAGTTCGGTGTGGATGTGATTGTATACTAGTGATACTGCACACTTTTATCACTCAATCCCCCAATTCGCGAACTTGATGGTTACCGGATTATAGATTCGACGTCCTTTACGTAGTGTTTAATTTTATTGTGACCGTATGCCACAAACTATCTAGAATTAGGGGATTATTCTATTTTCATCATTCTAATCCCCGTCGTTAAATACTATAATGTCGGACCTCATCACTCACCTGCTACGTGGGTCAGTTATGCGTTTATTGTTTCAATTAATGAAAGGTAGAGAGCACATTGATTGATGGATGCCACGAAATATCGAGAGACACGAACGAATTATCCACAAACCGGTGAAAATGATCCGACGCGCATGCATAATAGACGATCAATCACTGTCTAAGTATCAACGGATCGAATGTAATCGTCATACTGATGCTTTTATTAGTAACCTGGCAATAAAGCTATTATCCGTTTACTATCTTTGTGACATTTACTGCATTTGATCATTATTCAGCTTTTGTTTGCTTTCAAACTTTTATACTTCCGCACGAGACCTGTTCAGAATCACCTAGAAAAATGCGATATGAAGCAAATCTGATTTTAACCTGAAACTGTTCAAAGCAGGACAACCTAGGTAACTGGAAATATCTAAATTGTGTAGCAGGCTTCATACTCTAGGGTTTTTTGTCTGCCCGGTTATTCTTAACTATTTGTAGTATGCATTTGTGGCTTTTCAATTCTTCGGTATCATCAAGCTTGTACAGGATAATATTGACAGGGTGTCATCGAATCTTTTATTCTCGCTATTGAAAAAAAACATTTTTCGGTTTTATGAATGTTATATAGTGGAAGTAATTGTTTTATAGGTTAAAATGTTATGAACAACTAGGAAATGATAAAGCGAGAGTTGTTCTTAATTCACTGTATGATTTGTGGTTAAAGAGAGAGAACAATATAATGGGAAGTCATCACTGAGCGGTAAACAGACATGCAAATCTGATTTCGGCAATTGCACCCGATTGGAAATCGAATGAATCGACCAATTTCGTTTACTGGAATATGCTATTCGGGATATAGGACCTTGTAATTTTATTCTAGTACAAAGCAATGCAATCCATTCGAACCGATATGCTTACAACATACGCAATTGAAATAGTATTTATTGTAATTTAATATTGTATTATCAGACAGGCATTACGGGTTCTTGTGGGATCAACAAGCGTACACGTCGGATTCATTGTAAATAAGCGAGGTAAATTTTTGCGATGGTATTTGAGCCATTTAGTGCATGTATTCGATTCGATTGTGGAAGTGTATTCAAATAGTGACAAGAAGACTTCCAATCGTTTTGTTTGAGCATATTGATATATGGTTGATGAGACAGTCTAACATTTTATTTCTTATGAGGCAATCGTCAGTCAATTGCGCGGTTGAAAAGCGGACAAATGACCGACGTATTAATCAGTTTATTGTGAAGTGGTCATTTGTTAAAACATTAAGCTTTAAATTAGAACAGCTAGAGAAAAAGCGGCACAGTTTCACAGCGAAACGCATTCTTGAATAAGCTTTACAAAGTTAAATAGAAATCGAATATTTTATTACCAACCCAAAAAGAAAAAGTATTCCATCTGCTTCAACTAGTTCATATTACAGGTCATTCCGGAAAGGAAAACAGTTTTAAAATTTTGGAATGCAACTGGGGAACTCACACGCAACAACAATTAGAGCCACCATTCCGTTGAGAATTCCGCATACATTGATTCGATCAACGAAGTCTAAAATTCAAAGTATAACACGCATCCGAATCACTTGCGACAACTACCGGAGGTCTAGTTAGATCTCATTCAAAGGAGACGGGCGATACTGAAAAACGCTAACAGAACAGGACGGATCAAAAAACAGTATATTAGATGCCAAAATCAAGAATACTCTATGTGGGTAAGTTGGGCGAGAAGCATAATCTATATACAAGTTGAACAGAATATTATTCATAATACCAGCCAACAAATGGGGACAAGAGTTTGAATTCTTTATAGTGACAGCAGTGAAAAAAAACAAAAATAGGTACAGCCCACACAAGATTGCCTGAATTGGGTTTCCTCATTCCTGGACTTATTCAAGATGGTGTATCTCTGATTACTGAGCTTGTAGACACTTGCGGTCTTTAAGAAATATTTCTGCAGTGAGGACTAAACAAGCGAACATGAGACATGCGTCCCATGACAGGATTGAACTGGGACAGTTAGAACGACATATTGTGGTGTTCCAGCGAAAAACACTTGCATTTCATTAGGATTACAATTTACATTTATTAGATAAATGCAAAGGTTGTCAATGTTCCTATGTCAAAGGTAAACGTAACCAAGCAAAGAATAAATCGTATCAGAAACAAAGTGACCTCTCAGAAACCTAAAGAAGATCAAAAAATATATCGGAAAAAATACTAAAATTCATGATGAACTTAATAAGAGCACAGGCATGTGAGTGTTGATTCATGAACAACGATGAAAACAAAAGAAACGGCACCAAAAACCGGACGAGAGAAAAACGGATGGAAGGGTGAGAATAAGATAAAAAAAGAACACCACGAGACAAAATAGAGAAAAATCGACAGCTATGAACAACAAACGTCAAAACATACTCGGTATCACTGCATCGAACATATCATTGGCAACATCCGTTCGTCCCGTCACGAGTGTGACGCAAATCTGGTGTGATGCCGACAACGTTGGCTGTTCGGAAACTTCTGTGCCACACTGTTTATACTTTGGCTCACCTGTGAATTCGGCATCATCGCCGACTTGAATATAGCCGTCGTCACACAAACTGCCCGCTTTTCCAACCTGAAAATCGATAAACCATTGACGAATAAATATCTGATGAGCAAAACACCATGAACAGTCATTGGTCAAGAGTTAGGACCGAAATTAGTCAGATGAGGATTCCGTGATTAAATATGAGTAAATGGCTGATGTTAAATTTGGTGAATTTCAGCTGATGTTTCCTCCCTGGAGTGACTGTTATTATGTAGTCACATGTGACGACCTTGTCGAAAGTTCCTTGGTCGCCGGGAACCTTCGAACCGTCTTTCAATCCGTCAACAGTCAGTTCCTGTGGACCACATTTAGGGTCCCAATCCACTTCGTTCAATTTGTCTACTGCTAAGGATGAATCATATTTCGTTTATTTCTCCTTTTTCTGTTGTAGGGTTGTCAACTACTTTACATTTTGCTTTTATACCGTTTTCCAATATTTCATCTATCCTCCTTTCTTTTTCCATTACCGATATTTTTATGTCCAAGTGTCTTTTCTCATGGCCAAGTTTGCTTTGCTGTTATTTTGGTTGTTTCCATTTATTCTACCAGTGACTACCAGTGAATTCTGGTTTTTCACCCCGACCCTGGGTATTATATGATTTGGTCGCAAAACAGTTAAGCATTTGGACTGCCTGAGTGAATATGTTTTCTGTTAGATATTAGCACAAGCCTTTATTTGGATTTGTGTGAATGAGTGATACAACTAGTTTATTTGGCTGTTTTANTGTTTTAACAATGTACTTACGTATTTCTCGGGAAATCAAGCTATTTAAATTTGCTCTTGGGAAGACCTATGATAAATGTCCGGCAAAACTGCTTAACTTTTCTCATTTTATATGCTTTTCAATTATTTTTCTTTTTTGTACTTCTTTTCTTCTTGAAGAATAATTGATGCAACTTTCAAGAAGGGGAAATCCGCCAATGAATGGGTTGCTATTTAACACAAATGCGAAAAGTATCGTTTGCGTATCGTTTGCGTCCATTTTGCTGTTTTCATGCATTGGTTTTATTGGAAATCGCAATCAGCTCCCGTCGCACCGCACTG